CGTAACAGGTACGAGGCTCTGCAAGTGGAAACTAACAGTAACCAGGACAATGGTTCGTCTAGCTTGGAAGTGTTGCTGAGGTTAAGTCAGGATCAAAACTACTCCCACAAAGGAAGATGGGTCATTGTCATAAGTGACTTCCTCCTGAAGGAGTAGAAAGCATGATATGCAGATCAGACCCACTCCTTAGGGAAGTCTGCTGCCTCCCTGGGGCCAGGTTAAAAATGTAGCGAGAAAACGTCCCATCCTGGTGCATTATCCATTTATACCATTTATATATTTAATGGATAATACCATCCTGGTATTATCCATTATTGATTTTTCAGGTAGGCAGCAATGAAGTCACAACAGGAAATCCGAGGGCAATCAAGAGAGACTTAAGGGCCTTGGGAAGACTGGTTAAGGGATCAGGAGCACAAGTAGTGTTATCCTCTATCCCTCCAGTTGCAGGGTATAATGAGAGAATCAACAGGAAGACCCAACAGAACAATACCTGGCTCCGAGCCTGGTGTCACCAGCAGGACTTCGGGTTTTTTGATCATGGGTCGGTTTACACGACACCAGGCCTGCAGGCAACAGATGGGGTACACTTGTCTCAAAGGGGGAAAAGGATTTTTGCACAGGAGTTGGCAAGGCTCATCGAAAGAGCTTTAAACTAAATTTGAAGTGGGAAAGGGATAAACCCAAGCTCTCTAGACATAAGCCTGGGGGCGGCACATTAATGTTTGTGGGATGGCGTGCTAACGAGGTCTTTCAGTCTGCTATCCCAGTGGAGGTAGGGGATGGAGTGTCATGCAACAGCAAAGACACAAGGGATATTGATGGGCTAGAAATCACAAAAGCACCTGGGAATGGTCAGGTAGGAATTAGGGCTTCTCCCCCCAAAAAGGTGATGGGATCAATAGCCCAACTGAAGTGCCTCTACACCAATGCACGCAGCATGGGCAACAAACAGGAGGAGCTGGAAACTACTACGCAGCAGGATAACGATGGTATAGTTGCAATCATGGAAACATGGTGGGATGACTCACACAGTTGGAGTGCTGCAATGGATGGCTATAAATTCTTCAGAAGGGATAGGCAAGGAAGGAGAGGCGTTGGAGTGGCCCTGTGTGTTAGGGAGTGTTTTGGTTGTCTGGGGCTTAATGATAGCGATGATAGAGTTGAGTGTTTAAGGGTAAGAATGAGAGGGAAGGCCAACAAGGCAGCTATCATGGTGGGAGTCTGTTATAGACCACCCAATCCGGATCAAGAGGCAGATTAAATATTCTATAAGCAGCTGGGAGAAGTCTAACAATCACTACCATTTGTTCTTGTGACAGACTTCAACTTACCAGATATCTGCTGTAAATGCAATACAGCAGAGAGGAAAGTCTAGGAGGTTCCTGGAGTGTGTGGAAGATAACTTCCTAACACAGCTGGTGAGCGAGCCAACTAGGGAAGGCACCCTATTAGACCTGTTGTTCGCAAATGGAGAAGGAAACGTGGGTGATGTGAAGGTTGGAGGCTGTCTTGGGCATAGTGAACATGAAATGATAGAGTTTTCAATTATTGGAGAAATAAGGGAGGGGGTTAGTAGAACTGCTATCTTTGAGTTCCAGAGGGCAGAGTTTGGCACGTTTAGGGGCCTGGTTGACAAAGTACCTTGGGAGGCAATCCTTAAGGCCAAAGGAGACCAAGAAGGCTCGG